AAGAAAATATATAAAAGTAATAGGAAATATAAAAATAATATAATAATAATGTAATAATATATATATAACATAATAATATATATAAATATGAAAATAATATAGGAAAAGATACATTAATGTAAATGATTTAAAAACTTTAATATTTTTTTAACCTGACAGGTATTATCCCAAATCAAGAAAAATAAAAAAAGATTTGAATGTATCGTATATTTTGGTTTTGAATAATGTGCTGCATCAGATGAATTTTCAATCAATCGTAAAATTATGCTTGTGGACTAACAATAGCGCGTTCAATCTGCGCTTTAGTGGCATACAACATCTCCTATCGGTATCATAAAATAGCATCGATTTTATTGTCTGTCGTCGCAGAGGCGAGGTGTGTGATTGTGAGTGTCAGAATAATTTTCGTAATTAATGAAATAGATTAAAACACGAGAAAGCGCTCTCGACGCTGCCGGACGCGGTCACGTTAGTTGACAGCGCGAAAAGGTATAACGTCGTCTGCATATCCAACGCTGGTCCATTTATAACATTCGCTGTTATGTGTGAGTTTATGCAACGCACCAAAAATACTTATTGATATAACTGTCATTAAATGAGACGTCTGCCTCTATTTGGATGACCCATCATTACGATACCCGATCACCTTACTTATTAAAGAGCCAATATGTCGTTCACATTACCGCTTCGTGATTGCTTCTGTGGACTTTAATATTAATTTTATCCGATTATTCTTCGTAATTTCTCGAACAGAAAATTAGGAAAATAGGAGGAACGCGTGGAGAAGTGTTTAAAGAAAAATTAAAATTCTAAAAAACATTAAAATTTATAAAATTCCGTATTCATATAATTTTAAAATTCATTATTTTATTTTAAATATCCTTAAGGAGTTTGCTCTCATCTTAATGGAAATGTTACGATTTGCATAAAAGTTCAATATTACATTCTTAGCAGCATAACACATTCACAGTTAAAATTTTAAGGAATTTGTCTACATAGTTTGTAAGAAATCTAAAGCTGATCGTGATTTTTATGTATGTTCTTATGAGTAAGAATAAGACAGATATATAGCCATGATGATTATTACGTTGTACTTCGTAAATAATGCTACCATCTAAATAAAAAACTTTTCATTATTTATATATCAATAAATAGTTGGTAAAAGCACGATTAACGTTTACTGCACGATTTCTGTGTGACAACCAATAATAGATCATAAAACTATTGCTGTCCTTTGTCAAAAGTGTTGGATTTTATTTGTCTCATTCTTTTCTATGCATAAATAGAAGAGTCGCTTCCCTTACCACATGCCCGTAAAAGGTGAGCAAACTCCTTAAAGCAGAGGGAATCTAACATGATTCTTTTTCCATTCTTATTTTTGACTTAAAACATTATAAGAGTTCTAAAAAAAAAATACTTTTTCTAAACTCTTTCAGATAAAAAAAGTAAAGCTCTTTGATCGGCAAAAAAAATGGTAAATTAAAACGCTTGACTTTTGATTCATAGCCCAATTTTAGGGCTCAATGTAAAAAAAAACGTACCGACATCGCTCTTTAAGAAACGATTGACGATAGATCAAGATATATCGATCATATAACTTTTTCTCTAGCTAGAGCAAAACAGGAAAATTTATATATATATGCGTGTGTGTGTGTATATGTAACACATAAAACCATGCACACAAAAAATTTTCTCTTTTCACGTTTTCGCCCCGAAGAGGTTATATACATGATCGATACCCTAAAATCTTCTCATGTTGCGCCTTTTATTCTGTCCTGGAGATTTCTTACTTACGAGAAAAAGTCTTCGCCACGTTCGTCTAGTGGCAATGCTGCGTACTACTCATAAATGTGCTATTCTTTTCGAATTTGTACCCATTACGAATATTACGACCATTACGAATAGAAAAAAAGACTTCTTTTGAATTTTAATTTTGAATCCCAGTAAAAAATTGTTCATGCATGAACATGTAGAAATATGTATAAACGTACATAAACACGCATAAATATTCATAAACATGTATAATTATATATGAAATATGTCCATACATGTTCATACATCCTTTTTTCTTTTGTAAAATTACTTTTTAATGTAATAGAAATAATAATAGTAACGTGAAAACATTAAAAATAATTAAAAAGATAATTTTCACACTATTTATTTTAGAAAAAATCAAGTTTGAAGAAATGTAAAAAAATTATTTATGTATAATTATATATAAAATTATGCATAATTATGTATAAAC